ATCTACGACCCCGAACTACATTTATTTACTTAAAGGGATTATTAACTCCTATAAAAATACGAAAAATACAGAATTGAAAAATCTTAAATATTTCTTACAGCTCAAATTTTTATTAATTTAAAATCAGTACTTCTATAAAAACCTAGTAAATACATTTAAAGAACTGGAACAAAACACATTTGGAGATTATTATTATTAAACAAATGTATATTTGAACACTTGAAAATAAAAAGGCTACAAGTAAAATAAATTTATCATAGTATCTATTTGATTCTTATAACCAGATACAACTTTCTAGCATTATAATCAGGCTAAAAGGAATAAGTCAAAGATTTTATTTATTCGCAGGATCAGAAAAATATCAAAAGAAATAGGTACCTTGTGTATATGAAATTTATATCATGAACACATTATAATAGGGTCCAAGTCATAACATTATTAGTACCAAGGAGACAGGATAAATAATACGAAATATTTATATAGTAAAACTTTATACTAATAATTATTTTTATTACAGAAAAGACAAAGTTGAATAACCTCTTTACATAACCTACAATCATTTAAAACGTAGACATTAATAGTATATTATGCAACGATCATGTAATGATGGTTATTAATACACGAGCATTAACCGGGATACGAAACGAGCCAAAGGCGAGTTTCGTATGGTTTATGCGAGTGTTTTAATAACCATTACATGAGAGTTGCATACGCTATTTTTTCTACACCCGATAAATAATCAAGACCTATAAATTTTCTATTTATATTGGCATTGAACACAATAACAGTAATTACTCGTATTTCTATAAAAAATTCTACAAAATTGTAATTAATGGTATTACCTTGGGTATTGGTATTACCACAGATTTTTGGGGCAAAATATTTTGTACTGCATTTTCTCCTTTCTCCGATATGTGTGGAGGAGTCTTCTATATCGCTGATATCAGACATTTTAATATTATAATTATCGAAGTTTAGCTATCTACGAAAATTTAATACGTTTTGACAACTAAAACAATTACATAGGAATTTAGGACAAACGTCAAACATCATGCTTGATTGTAAATGGTAGGTTTCTATTGATTAAAAATCTGTATCATAATGGATATCATTATGAAACGGATTATGGGCATATAAGTGCATTATTATAATACGGGTGTAGAAAATAGTATATTATGCAACGATCATGTAATAATGGTTATTAATACACGAGCATTAACCGGGATACGAAACGAGCCAAAGGCGAGTTTCGTATGGTTTATGCGAGTGTTTTAATAACCATTACATGAGAGTTGCATACGCTATTTTTTCTACACCCGATAAATAATCAAGACCTATAAATATTATATTTATATTGGTATTGAACACAATAACAGTAATTACTCGTATTTCTATAAAAAATTCTACAAAATTGTAATTAATGGTATTACTTCAGGTATTGGTATTTCCCTAGATTTTTGCGGTAAAATATTTTGTACTGTATTTTCTGCTTTCTCCGATATGTGTGGAGGAGTCTTCTATATCGCTAATATCAGACATTTTAATATTATAATTATCGAAGTTTAGCTACCTACGAAAATTTAATACGTTTTGACAACTAAAATAATTACATAGGAACCTAGGACAAACGTCAAACAGCATGCTTGATTGAAAAATTGTAGGTTTCTATTGATTAAAAATCTGTATCGTAATGAAAAATCTGTATCATAATGGGTATCATTATGAAACGGATTATGGGCATATAAGTGCATTATTATAATACGGGTGTAGAAAAACATATTTACTTGAAAAATAACGTTTCCTAGTAGATTTCTTAGCACTTTTTCACGGATAACATAATTTGCATTAAAATGTTTTTCACAAATGGAACTTTTGGGTTTAATGTTTATTTTCATACCACCAATAATTTGCACCATATTCTGTATAACTGTTTTTTGGCATTATAAAACTGCTATTAATATTTTGAAGACTCTCTCCCATAATCACAATTAAAAACAGCACAACGATCCACCATGATTTATATATTTTAAGATTTTAAAAAATATTTATCTGTCAACACTTTTTAAATTGCAGCTCCTACTTTTATCTTTTATTTACTTTCTCGCCGGATAGATACTAGTGAACCTAGCGGATTTTGGCTAGGAAGTACGATCGGTTTTATCGCCGTTTTCATTTGTTTTTAAATAGGAGTTGATGCACCTTATAGTAAGTACACCGTGGTACGAGAAGGAAAGTATAGGACTCATGATAAAAGTTGCTTATGATGTCATTCTCTATTATTTTGTTCTTATACATGATTTCCCTAAAATGGACCTAATTCGAGATATTTTAGGAAAAGTGCAAATTTCGAATTTTGAAGATAACTCAAAAACGGATAAAGAGAAAGACACCAAATTTTAAACTTAGGCTTCAATCCATCCTAAGGTGAGCTGATTAAAGTTTAGGTATAGTCAAAGCATCTAGAGAATACTTTACAGGGTGTCGTTTTTTTTTACTTTAAGAAAATAAATAGTCTGGACCGTATTTTCTTAGGCAACCCATTTGCGGTGTATTTATAAACACATTTTATTTAATAAAAAGAAACTTTCATCCATTAAACATATGGGTGAAGGTCGACCTTACTTCGGATCTTAGACTATATCTTTGTGCCAAATTTTATCCAGATTCATTCAGGCGTTCTGACGTGATTGTGGAACAAACATTCATCCATACATCCAAACTTTCGCATTTATATATTAGTAGGGTAGGATAATAATAAGAAAAAATATACCTGCATTTTTATTTTCAAGTAAAATCATCGCCACTGCTCCCGCTCTCAGAATCCAATTGGAAATCTTCACTGTCCGAGTATTCATTTAAATTAATAACGAACTCATCTATGGCTTTATCAATCAATGGCTCTTTGGCAAGTAAATCATGTTCAATTCCTATGACTTTCTCAATCAATCTTTTCCATTCTTCTACAGAAAACGATTGCAAAAATTCATCGGATAGCCTTTCTATTGAACTATCTGTATTTCCAGCACCTACATACGATTTTAAAGCTTCCCAAACCGTTTCAATTGGGTTTAAAACTGGATGGCATGATGGCAGTCGCGCTACTTCATGTCCTTCATCTCGTATTACTTTCCATAAGGAATGGATCTCCTTTTTTAGAATAGGTCTCACCACTGCAGATTTTTGTTTTGATGGGAAATCACCTTTCTGAAAGGAATTATTTATTATGTAACATAAAGGCTCAATAATATATGAAGCAACATTTTTAATAAGCACATTATGAATATCATCTTCACCTGTAGACAGCTTGTTTTTTAAATTGTTTATTATTTCCGATAGCTCTTCTATTGTCAAATCTGCTAGATATATAGATTAGATATTAATATTGCCTGAAGATATTAAATGTTCTTCAAACACAGCAATATTTGAAAGAAAACTGCGTGAGTACTTGCTGACCAACTGATGTTTTTTTGTTTCTATCTTGTTCTTATGTTTTGTATAGTTGACTTGTAGGTGTACTGTATCTTATTTTTTTATTGTATTTTAAATGTATGTTGATTCTAAACTTATGTATTTTTTATATTTTAAATATGAAGATGTATTGACATGTAAAAAATAGTTTTTTTGACTAAATAAACGATTTATATATAAAAAAACTTAGGTATAACCTACAATAATTGTGTTCTATCTTTTTCTAATCATGTAAAAAATATAGTTAGTGCTGCAAATAGAATGCTGGGGTTCATAATTAGGCAAACTAGAAGTTTTACTAACATATAATCTATAAAAATTCTTTATTATGCTCTAGTTAGACAAAAACTTGAATTTGGAGCTGATGTATGGATGGGGGAACATCTAACTACTCTATATGAGATTGAAAAAATAGAAAATCAATTTCTTAGATATCTTTACTTCAAAAAACTCCATATATACCCAGACTACAATCTTGTTAAAACTGCAAACTTAAGGAAATAATTTAAAATACCTTCCCTTCACACCAGAAGGAATATGATAATATTGACTTTTTTATATAAAATTATTAACAATAAAATTAACTCACCTGAGCTACTATACTTAATACGATTTAATGTACCTCCGAGGAGATTGGGATATCCATGTATGTTTAATATTCCTTTAGGTCTTACCACTGCCAGGTCACCTCTTGTGACCATGCTTCGATTGGCAAATAATATTAACACTTGTATTGATGTAGACTGGACACTACCATTTAATATGTTCCAAAAACTTGTATTTAATTATTACATTACTCTTGATTAATTTTAATACTGAATAAGTTATAATATTAGTTGTAATTACCTACTGTTTATTATTTATGTATTATGATACTTTTATCCATGTAATAAGGCAGTTGGCCTGTTTGGATACAAATAAATAAAATAAAACACAGAAAATACATAATATTTTATTAATTAATACTTTTTATACTTACTATTAAACATTTTTTGTTAAATATTTAAAGAAGTAACATCTAAAATTATAAAACTATATTTGATTAATAATTTATATTCTTAAGGGCGCATTTGCAAAATGTTACGAGCTAACGAATGCCATAAACAATCAAACTTATGCTGGAAAAATCGTTTCAAAGAAGCTAATTACAAAGCAAAACCAAAAGGAAGAGACGACACAAGAAATACAAATCCACCAATCGCTGTGTCATAAAAACGTTGTTGGATTCTACAACTTTTTTGATGACAATCACAATATTTATATTATTTTGGAGTTATGCAGAAAAAAGGTAAGTACATTTCGAATTTATTATTATATTACTAGGCACGGCACAAATAGGTATGATCTAATTTTAAATATAATAATAATAATAATGTTTATTCATAAATAATACAATTAAATTAAATACAATATATTTGTTATGAAGAAAGAAAAAAATTTGCCAAGTTTTTAACACGTGTACAAATTTTGGTTTAAGTCTTAATTTTTTATTTTTTGCATGTTATATTAAAATTGATTTTAATTCACAATACATGAATACATTTTTAAAATTACAGTCGATGGACCTTCATAAACGAAGAAAGTTTTTAACTGAACCAGAGACGAGATTTTATATGAAACAGATTATATCCGGTGTACACTACCTTCACCATAATAGAATAATACATCGAGATCTAAAGCTAGGAAATTTGTTTTTAAATGATGATCTGATAGTTAAAATAGGAGATTTTGGTTTGTCAGCCAAAATTGAATATGAAGGGGAGAGAAGAAAGACTCTTTGTGGAACGCCCAATTATGTAGCTCCCGAAATATTAACCAATAAAGGTCATTCTTTCGAAGTCGATATTTGGTCATTAGGATGTATAATGTATGCTCTTCTTATTGGAAAATCTCCGTTTGAAGCTAGCAGTTTGGAGGAGACTTATAATAGAATAACAAAATGTGAATATAGGTAAGTCATTTATTTTGTTATAGAGAAAGTAAAAGTTGAAAAGTCTTTTGGTAGGTAGAGAGGGGGTAAACGTCAAACCACGTCGGGCGGCTCCGAGAATTTCACAGTAATGTTTACCTGCCAGTGTCGTTTCATAGAATAAGTAATTTTAAATTGTTATCGGCGGAACCGGACAATCGCATGTACTTATGGATTATAAATAATTATTAAACATGTATTATAATATTCAAATTATAATTTTACAAAATTTCAACAGCTATTCACAATTTATTAAACTATTTACTCGAAATTGTTATTAAAATCTATAAAATAATTTTGTACGCCAATGTATCGCGTCCAGTTCGGTGAGATCCGGTGCCAACCTGTCAATTTATGTGTATAAAGTGGGAGAACTGGCAAAAGCATTTCCAACTTTTACTTCTGTTCTACTTAATGCCTTTCTAGTTTTTCATTTTTTGTGGTGGCGACAATGAGTGTGTCATTTTTTATTGGTGGGCTGAGTCACGTGGTCTTAGCCGCCATGTTGCTGCTAATTTAGTCTTGTTTACATTGTGTTGTGCTCGTGTTTATGTGTATTTCATCTTTTGTTAACTTTTTCTAGAAGATTGCAAGTGATTTTATTGACTGTATAGATATAGATTGAACTTTACTGTATTTATTCATATTTTCATTTAATTTACATCATAATTATAAAAACCGGTGGTGAGTATTATCTATTTTAAAATCCTACATTATGTGTACCGTCAAAGCACGTTTTTATACATATTGACAAAAATTGTTTGTATTATATTCCTGATTATGGTTTGTAAAATGTAATTATTAATTTTGTATTCTTTTTTAGATTGAGGCCATGCCTGGTTGTGCATCAGTGAATTGCAGTAATTCTGCAAAGAAAGGGTTTTTGATGAAACGCTTTCCCCGAGACTCTGCAAGAAGAAAGCAGTGGCTTTTTAAAATGAGAAGAGATAATTGGACTCCGACAGATTATTCTTATTTATGTGAGGTATGTATCAAATATGATATTTTTGTTATGTAATAACCAACTGTTACTTTTAAAATAGGGTTTCCAATGTTTTTTATATAGTTTAAGTGCCAATTTTTTCACTTCTGAGTAAAGTTATATGTAGGTTTACTTGACAGATTAGCAAACAATATAGCCCTATAGTTTAATCAGCAAGTAGTTACTTTCAACTTTACTGAGGTGAAAAGACTGGCGCTAAATGTATAGAATTGCAAGATAATTAGTTGGTACTTTTGTTTATAGATTCACTTCACTCCAGAAATGTGGGATGGTTCTCGGAAACTTAAATGTTGTGCTGTTCCCACAATCTTCTCCTTTTCCACAGCAAAACCAAAAAGAAAATCACCTGCTCAGAGAAGTCTGTGTATAACTAAGAAAGATGGTAAGGGAGATTTTATTTAATTATTTTTAATTAAAACAAAACTGTTGATCAAAAGTTAAAATGTCATTGTCAGAATAAAAAAGTTTTAAAGAAGATCAAATTAAAATTTAGGTTTAAAACACATAAAAGTCTATTATTATATTATCTTTCTTTTTCAGATGAGGCTGTAATAGAGACAGAAAATGGGGAACCATCTATTCGTGTCCATACACCTGTTACTTCATCTCCATCAAAATCATTATTAAGTGAAGAAGAAGAAGATATTAGTTTACCTTTACAAGAAACTGTGGAAAATACTCATCAAGCAGAATTATTGGCTAAGCTTCAAAAATATGAGAATATGTTTTTGAAAGAAAAAATCAAAACAAAAAAATATAAGAATTTATTGAGAAATACAAAAAATAAGCTGAAAAAGGTTGAAAACACTAACCAAGATTTATTGTTAAGTAAAGTATTTAACAATGACCAAATCACAGCTCTCAGAAAAAAACAGAAACAAAAATCAACAAAATTATTCTATTATAAGTCTCCTCCAAACTGCTAGCTTCAAACGGAGATTTTCCAATAAGAAGAGCATACATTATACATCCTAATGACCAAATATCGACTTCGAAAGAATGACCTTTATTGGTTAATATTTCGGGAGCTACATAATTGGGCGTTCCACAAAGAGTCTTTCTTCTCTCCCCTTCATATTCAATTTTGACTTTTTAAAAATAAAATTGCAAAATTTTGAACATCATGAGAGGGATTGTGTGCTTGTATTAGATGAAATGGCGATTACACCAGGTTTAATATTTGACAATTCCCTTAAAAAGTATTTAGGTGATGTAACTCTTCCCCAACACTCTGGAATGGCAACCCATGTGCTTGTTTTTATGCTGGGTGGAAGTACTACCCGTTGGAAGCAAGTGGTGGCATACTATTTTAGTGGTGACTCAGTGAACGGTTCAGTGTTTACAGACATTATAAAAACAATATTTATCAAAGTGACGGAAATAAATTTAAATATTTTAAGCATAACATCAGATATGGGCTCGTGTAATCAAGCATTGTGGAGAACATGGGGAATATCAGCTGGTAGACATTCCCCAATTAAAAATAAAATTAAACATCCACTAAATGAAGATAAATTTGTCTACATTTTTGCTGATGTACCACATCTTTTTAAAAATATTAAGTCTATGTTGCTCAACAATAAAGTAATAAAATTACCGGAAAATATAGTGACAAAATATGTTCTGCCAACTCAAGAAGTTTTGGCCTGTCATATTTCGGAAGTTGTATATCATCAGCAAACCCATATATTTAAGTTGGCACCAAAATTATCTGAAGAAGATTTGTTTCCAAGCCATTTTTCAAAAATGAAAGTTGCCACTTCTACTAATGTGGTTAGTCACAGTGTAAGCAGTGCCTTGAAATTTTTAGCAGAAGATTTAAATAAACCAGCATATTTAACAACAGCCTGGTTTTTAGATCAAGTAGAGAAGTGGTTCTATTACATGACTTCAAGACGCCCATCGTGTGCTTTAAGTAAATTTAATGTTGATGTCTACAATGAAACCATAACATTTTTGGATGAATTTATTGTATTGTTTTCGGAAATGGAAGTTGGATACAAAAAAATTTGGAAACCATCCCAAACAGGAGTTCTTATTTCTACCAGTTCCATTTTAGAATTACAGAAGTATTTATTAGACTCAAAAAAGTACAATTTTTTATTAACGAGTCGGTTTTCTCAAGACTGTCTGGAGAATCTGTTTTGTGTCTTGAGAAGCAAACAAATTGTTCCAAACGCAGTACAAGTTAAAAATAATTTAAAATTAATTAGTGTGTCTCAATATTTAAAAAATGCCAATAATAGTAGTTATGATGACGACAATAGGGAATTTCTTTCAGGTTTCTTAGATACCACTAAAAATCAAAAATATACCTATGATGAAGTTCAGATTCCAGAAATTATTGAACTTAAATCATAGTGAACTAAATTCCTTATATAATATATGCGGATACTTATTACAAAGTATTACAAAGACATCTAAAATATGTATAAATTGTTTAAGTGCAGCAGGTTCAAAAACACCCATTTACAAAAAATTTACAAAGTATACCTTAATTAAAAGATTTAGAGAGCATTCCCTTTTTTTCTGCAATGAAATAATATTTTATTTTTTTATTGAAATGGAAAATATATTTCGAAAATACATTTCAATTGTAAGCTCACAAAATGTTAATTTAAAAGATTTTTTTTGTAAAGAAATGTCTAGTCTGGAAATAAATTTGCCAAATTGTAATTCTCTTAAAACTAAAATTATTAATAGATATGTTATTTTTAGACTAAAAATAAATTCAAAAAAATATAATCTGCATCTAAAAAACTTGCCAGCAAATCTGTTGCTGGTAATTTATTATAAATATTTGTTAGGCATTCATTGAGAGAAAAAAAACTATTTTAATAGTACACACAAAAAAAATATTGCCCTGTTTAAGTATAAAAGCTTGAATTCAAGTTTATCGTAAGATCAAATATGTGCGAGAATATCCTTGAAAGTATATTAAAAAAATTCACACTTTTAAATTTTAATAATATAATCTCAAAATGATTTTAATATATTCTTCAGTTTAATCATATTAGTTTTCTTAAACTAAACCAAAAGAAATTTTCAAAATATATCATATATACTTAAAGTAAATTAACAATTAATTTGTTTTTAAAGAATCATAAAATAAAAACAAGACAATGGCATTTTTGTTATAAGAATATTTATGCTTACATCTAGAAAAAATATTTTTAATATTTTTAAATTAAAATAATTGTATATTTTTAAAATAATGTTAGCATGCTCTCTTTGATCATTTTAGTTTTTTTTAATTTAGGCAGAATGAAATATTTAAATACTTACCATGATTATAAAACTCGAAATAAAACTACAATATTTTTTCATACTTGATATCCTGATTAGTCTCCAAGGACTAAATCCTATATAGTGGCACATAATTGGACATACAGGATGCTGAAGTTATAAATCTTGAAAATTGTTAAGTATTTAAAATGAACACCAGAAAGTTTGTCTTAATTATTTTTGGAAGCTTTTCACTAATATATGTAGCCAAAATACACACTTAATACAAATAATTAATACATGGTGGGCAACCAAAAATGTTTCACTTAGTTTTTTTTTTTTAAATTGTTCGAATTCTAATTTTAACATACACACATCACTCATGATAATAGATTTCAACTAAAATATGCATGGACCTGCATTATTTGTGTCAAAAGGCATCGTTGTTATTGTAAAGGGTGGGGTGGTAGTGCCAAACTGAAGCAATATTGAATTTTATTTTATTTATGTTTCGTTTGAGAAAATGATTAAACTGCTGTAATCTCTTTTAATGAAATAGAGAAAGGGTATTTGTTATATTTAAGAAAAACATTTTTTGAATAAAAAAAAGCATTTCTTAAATAAAGAAATGTTTTAACTTTTTTATTGCATTTTAAATTAAATTTGAATGTTTGTTCCTGCCTTAAAAATTAGATTATAGTAATGCTCATAAAAAAGAAAAAGTAATGTCTTTGTTCTACATAAGAAAAAATCTAAAGGAAAATTTGTTACTTTGGTTTAAGAATACTTTAGGTTAAGCAAATTATTTCTCGTAATAATCTATCAAGCTTGATTTGAAATTAATGTTAAAGAGAAAATATTTTGCTTTACTGAAACTGTTTATAATCTTAAGTCAAAAAGTTATATGTTCAATTTAAACTTATATTTCCAAGCAAATTTTATTTCCTGATTAAAGTAATATTTTTGTGTATATAACAGAGTTTTCTTTCACCGATGGCGATTAACCAAAATATAAATAGGTATGTATTTTTTCACAAATATTTTGTTTGTCATTTTTTTGTTCACACATATTTAATTTTTTTTATTTTGTTTTTTTTTTACAAATATTTAGTTTTTAACATTACTTTATTGTAGTAATATATGCCGCAAAGCTTTAATTACCTCATAATCCTAACTATAGGTAAACAATGATATAGTTATCCATTTCATTACGATAGGTATCTATATGTAATAGAAAAAATATTTTTTTATTTTTAATAGTAAAAAATAGTAAAACAACTTGAATTTGATTGATATTGGGGCCAAAACAATAGGTTTTTATTAGAATTTGCTTAAAAACTAGTCTCTGCTCATAAGAGTCTATTTAAAATTAGCAGCAACATGGCGGCAAAGACGTATTGTCGTCACTGTCCTAATCAAGTCACTGTACCTATACCACCGAATGCAAATAGGACTACGAAAATGGAACAGAACCGTTCTGGCCCAAATGTTTTAAAATATAATTTCAGCATTTGTTTAAGAGGAAAAAAAAAAAGAAATACCTTAATTTTTACTTGTAAATACGATATTATGTTAGGTATTCTTATGCAACAACCAAATTTTCACAAAAAAAGACAATCATTAATTTTACAATCACTTTTAATTTGTTTTTGATATTACTAACCATGATATAATGAAATAAAAGAGTCCTATTGGATACACTGCTAATAACTTTCTTCTTGGTTTCTGACTATCTCCCAAAAAAAATCATAGAAGCTAAAATATAATAATTGTTAATTAATCCTGAACTGAATTAAACAGTATAATTGTTCATTAAAAGGCTCAAAAATTAATACAATAAACATAAATTGAGATTTTAATTTATTCAGAGCTCCCCGATATGATGGAAATTTTCACAAGCGTGGATTTTCCCATCATCAGGGAAGAAGTTAGGATATCGAAGAGCTTGATACTTACCATACGTTGCCCACATAAATCCAATCATAGATACAACTAATCTCAAGAAAAATAATAATGTTGATTGACGGGTCAACAAAATAATACGACAAGTCATTAGAGCAATAGCTGTTGGCAATAAACAATATCCCAAGACACAAACACTCTGAAAGAAGGATCTAAAAAATAAATAATTAGACGCCACTTGTTCAGCTACCTACAAATTTTCCCCAATGGTCTTACATATTTCCTCCTAATAATTTAGAATTCAAAGTTACAACTACTGAACCTATCCATACGATTACAAATACTTGGGAAAATTCTGGTCCTCCGTCATGTGGGTTAGTTGTTGTAGCAGATCCTTGCAAAAACCTAAAAAACAAAGATATTTTTATTTAGTAACAAATATAAAAAGATCTTTTATTAGATGAGAAGCCAACTGCACAATGAGCAGGTGAGTCCACAATAAAGCGAGTCCAGTAAAAGCTCTTTTGGTATGTGGTAAATACAATGCAGATACCATAGAAGTTATATATAACTTTAATTTAATAAATCTATAAAAAGCTATAAAATCTATAAAAATCTTTAAAAAAAACAATAAAACTATAAAAAGCTATAAAAATCTATAAAAGGTTATAAAAATCAATAAAAAGCTATAAAAATCTATAAAAATCTTAAAAAATTTATAAAAAGCTATGAAAATCAATAAAAATCCATAAAAAAATTAATAAAAAGGTATAAAAATCAATAAAAAGCTTAAAAAATGGCTATAAAAATCAATAAAAATCTATATAAAGCTATAAAAATCTTTTAAAAATCAATGAAAATCCATAAAAATTCATAAAAATCTATAAAAAAACATAAAACTATAAAAATCTTTTAAAAAATCTATAAAAAGCTAAGAAAAGCTATAAAAATCATTAAAAATTCATAAAAAAACTATAAAAAGCAATAAAAATCCATAAAAATCTATAAAAATTTATAAAAATCTATAAAAAGCTATAAAAATCCGTAAAAATCTAAAAAAATATTTTAAAAATCCATAACAATTCATAAAAAGCTATAAAGATCCATAAAAATCTATATAAATATTTAAAAAAATCTATAAAAAGCTATCAAAATCTATAAAAATCCATAAAAAGCTAAGAAATGGCTATAAAAATCTATATAAAGCTATAAAAACATATAATTTTTTTTTAATCTATAAGAATCAATGAAAATTCATAAAAAGCTATAAAAAAAAACATAAAAATCTTTAAAAGGCTATGAAAATAAATAAAAATCTATAAAAATTCATAATAAGCTATAAAAATGAATATATATAAATCCATAAAAATATTTTAAAAATTTATAAAAAGCTAGAAAAATCCATAAAAATGTATAAAAATCTTAAAAATTTATAAAAAGCTATAAAACTCCATAAAAAGCTATAAAAATTCAAAAAATCTATATAAAGCTATTAAAATTCATAAAAATCGATACAAATCTATAGAAAGTTATAAAACCCATAAAAATCTTCAAAAAAAAATCTATGAAAAGCTATAAAAAACCATAAAAATTTAAAAAAAATCTTAAAAAATCAATAAAAATCCATAAAAATCTATAAAAAGCTATAAAAATCTATAAAAACTTCTAAAAATCAATGAAAATCCATAAAAATTAATAAAAATCTATAAAAAGCTACAAAAAAAAACAAAAACTATAAAAATCATTTAAAAATCTATGAAAAGCTAAGAAAATCAATAAAAATCTATAAAAATCCATAAAAGCTATAAAAATCTTAAAAAAAGCTATAAAAATCTTAAAAAAAAGCTATAAAAATCTTTAAAAAAATCTATAAAAAGCTATAAAAATCATTGAAAATCCATAAAAAGCTATAAAAATGAATATAAATCCATAAAAATCTATACAAAGCTATAAAAATCCGTAAAAACCATAAAAATCTGTTAAAAAAATCTATAAAAAGCTAAGAAAATCAATAAAAATCTATAAAAATCAATAAAAAGCTATAAAAATCAATAAAAATTTATAAAAAACAATAAAAATCCATAAATCTATAAAAATGTATAAAATCTATAAAAATCTATAAAAATCTATAAAAATCTATAAAATCTATAAAAATCTATAAAATCAATAAAAATCTAAAAAATCTATGGGTTTCCATAAAATGATTAATATTTGTATTTTTTCATAAAAACCTAACTTTAAAATTATTTTAGATGGTTAGTTTTCTAGTTTTTATTTAAATTTCCTGTATACTGTTTAAGTTCTGAATACAATTTTAATATACAAGATGAATCCAATCCTAAGTTAATATACAAACTGATACACTTGAATTGTTATTCATATTCATAAGAAAAACTGAAAAAACAGATGAAATGACCTATTAATTCGTTTAAATTTTGGTACACAAGTCCAGGCCCGGATTTAGATTTTTTAATCTGTATCATTCTTATTTTTGAGTGTTTATTTTTAGTTATTTGAAAATGAATTTTACTTTAACGACTTCTACACACATAGTTAAAAAAGTATTAACTAATTAATAATTAAAGTTAATATATTGTTATATAATGTACAGGGAATTTGAAAAAGATACTTACATTGCCATAAACGTACAAAGAAGTAAAGGACCCCACAAATCCCCTAAAAAATAAAAATGTTTGGTAAGTCTACCTCATAGCTATAACTTTTAAATCTTGTACATTCTGCATGATATCAGAAAAACGTATTATATGTTTTAGGCAAACAAAAACTATCAACAAAATGTTTTAGACAAATTATTATATGTAGTTTAAAAGTTACAATTTCTGGGTTTGTTACTTCTAAATATAAACCATTGTGTATAACTTACATTCTTTTAATAGAGTCTTCTTCTCTTTTGGGAATAATACATGAGCAAATTTTACACCAACAGCTTTTAGGTCTCTGAGCTAAAATAATAAAATTTAAATTATGAACCATAATTGCTGATATACAAAGAATTTACAGTTTTTTTCTATTTTAAAAATAAAGGTGTTAACTAACTATTAATAATAATAAAAAATAATTTCTGTCGAATATTTCAGAACCCAAATTTATATTTTTTACCTCCCTTGTATATAATACGATTTTTTTAATATTGGTTAAGTATATATTAGGTTTTAAGACATGCACTAACTTTAATCAAGAATAAATTTTTCTAAGAAATCAACAGTTAAAAAGTTGCCCATATGGTGCAGACTTTTGCAAAAAGACTGATAAATAGAATATAATTTAGTCATTATTAATATAATTCACAATTTTACATAGTAAGAACCCTTTAGATTAGTCAAGATACCTTTCACACAGTGCACATTCACACAAAAAACATTATCCATGTATTTTACAAGATTTTGTTTAAATATTATCAGTTACATTTTAAAATTAAAAAAAAAAAATAATCAAATTACAGTAATAAATTTAAGTAGTTTACATAGAGAAATAATAAAATAATGAACAAACGTTTCTTTTAAATATTCTAATTGAAAAATATATCATATTCAATTCACTAGATACTTGTGTAAGTGGATTATGACGACCATAATTTGTTAAATGTTAATTTTCATACAACAATGGTCAATTCCTAGTTCTTGATACAAAGTTAAAGTAAAACAAAGCCAGCAGCTCCAGACAATTTATTACACCATTTAACAACTTATGTAAGAATAGTAAATCTGCATCAGGCCTTTGTTTTTCAAGAGAGTAAAGATTAGTTAATTTAGAAATTTGATGTTAGTATCTAGACAGTTTATTCCTAACATATATGCATGTCTGAAAATCTCCTTTGCACTTTTTCAATCAATTCCATATACATAGTGGAGAACCATATTCTAAAATTATGTAGTGTTCCTAAAATATTGTAGTTTTTGAAAATTGGCGTGAAGTATATACATCTACTAATTTTAATAATAAATTTTCTATCTTTTATGAATCATTCCTATACCACTACAATATTGTATTTACGAAAACAAGGAAAGTGATAAAACCACAAAAATTAAATAATCAGTTTCCACCTCATATTAAAGAGTTACATAATCTATTATGTGAAATGAACAGGTTAAAGAAAGAAATAAATTCTACATATTATGCAATAATTTAAAAAAAGAGTATCAAAAAATAACAAAACAATATTTGAGAAGAAAAAATAATGATCGTATTTTAAAAAGTAATAACGTAATGAAAGAATCCTGAAATATAATAAACGAGTGTAGGGCAAAAAGAAAAAACAACTTATTGAATCCTATTAAACTTACAAATGATGACAAATTAACACCCTTAGAAAAAGTAAATTATATATATGACTATTTTATTAATGTAAATAAAAATAATATTGCACCTAACTATACTATGAGTATTGATAAAAATCATAAAAGTTTTTTCTTTTTCCAACAACTCCTAGTGAAATCATCACTATAATCAAAAAAACTACTTCTAAACCCACTGAAGGTATTGACGAAATAAATGGTAAAATTATGTTATCGGTTGCTCATTGTATTGCTGAACCCATATCACGTTTGATTAATGAATCCTTTGTTTCGGGATTATTTCCAAATATGAAGGAATATAAAGGAATTCCTGTTTATAAAAATAAGGGATCTGCATCTAATATAGAAAAGTATCTTTTAATCTGTATATCTAGTCAAATAACTAAAATATTTGAGTCAGCATACTTTATTAGACTCACTAATTACCTTGAAAGTTTTAATATGTTGCCAGATACTCAAAATGGATTTAGAAAAAATAAGTCAACATCTACTGCAATTGCAGCTTGCCTAGAGTTTATATATCAAGCACTCAATGATAAAAAACATATTTTGGGACTCTTCTATGACCTTAGCCGTGCATTTGATATGGTGGATCATAATCTTTTATTATTGAAGATGAATTCGTTAGGAATATGAGGGAAACCTTATGAATGGATACAGTCTTACTTAATAAATTGAACTCAAGTAATTGTAACAAATAGTCTAAAATCTGATCCTCTTCCATGTACAATACAGGAGTTCCCCAAGGTTCAATTATGGGCCCACTACTTTTTATAGTTTTTACAAGTGATATAATTAATTTTTGTTTAAGCTCTCAACAAATAGTTCAATATGCTGATGATACCAATATTGTAATGGCAGATGATCAAATTGAACAGGTCACTCAAAGCAACGAGGCATCTCGTGAGTTTAACCAGTATTAACGGTCTGGTATTAAATGTAACAAAAACAAACTTCATGCAATTTCTACCCAAAAACATATTACCAGATTATGAACCCTACTTGCACATTGACGGAAAAACTATTCAAAGCGTTGATGACATAAAATTTTTAGGAATAATATTAGATCCTAAATTAAATTGGGAAGCTCATATAAAAATGGTAAATTCAAAATTAAGTAATTGTTGTTATATCATCAAAAATTTAAGGGAGACACTATCTTTTGATACTTTAAAACTATGCTATTTTGGTTTGGTTCATTCAAGTCTACAATATGGGTTAATATTTTTGGGTTCTTCACCATACTTTGAAAGAGCTTTTGTACCTCAAAAGAAGGTTCTGAGAGCCATGTATAAGGTGACCAACAACATCATGTAAAGAACTTTTCAAGAAAATGCAAATTTTAACACTACCTTCCCTTTTTATTTTTCAACTAATTTTATGCATAAAAGATGAGCATATATTTAAGAAAAATAAAGACCTGCACTCATATGATACTAGATTAAAATTTAACATCCATCAACCTTTTTCACGACTACAAATAAGCCAGCATTCACCAAAATATATTGGGATAAAGTGTTACAATAAGTTCAGTAATATATTAGAAGATACTACAGGTTATCATCAAATTAGTTGTAATGATTTAAGAAAACATCTTAATGATTTTCTTGTAAATAATGTATTTTATTTATTTATTAATATATCCAACAGGCTTTATCAGCCCAATTACAGCAGTATATAATATAATATTTAAAAATACAAAGTTTGAGTATACTTACTTAACTAAATTACATTCTAATTACCTAATTTGATACCAATCTGTAACATTGCTCTCTATAGATGATTTTTTGAACTTTTAAACTAATCTTAACATGAATTGTCTATTAGGTATATGTTTTATTTTATTTTTTAATGTATTTTACTTAACACTTTTTTAGTTAGTCTGATAGGTCTTTACATTATGTACCTAGTGTCTTTGGATAGTGTATAATTCTCAAAGATGAATAAATTCTATTTTTCTACACCCGTATTATAATAATGCACTTATATGCCCATAATCCGTTTCATAATGATACCCATTATGATACAGATTTGATAGAAACCTACAATTTTTCAATCAAGCATGCTGTTTGACGTTTGTCCTAGGTTCCTATGTAATTATTTTAGTTGTCAAAACGTATTAAATTTTCGTAGGTAGCTAAACTTCGATAATTATAATATTAAAATGTCTGATATTAGCGATATAGAAGACTCCTCCACACATATCGGAGAAAGCAGAAAATACAGTACAAAATATTTTACCGCAAAAATCTAGGGAAATACCAATACCTGAAGTAATACCATTAATTACAATTTTGTAGAATTTTTTATAGAAATACGAGTAATTACTGTTATTGTGTTCAATACCAATATAAATATAATATTTATAGGTCTTGATTATTTATCGGGTGTAGAAAAAATAGTGTATGCAACTCTCATGTAATGGTTATTAAAACACTCGCATAAACCATACGAAACTCGCCTTTGGCTCGTTTCGTATCCCGGTTAATGCTCGTGTATTAATAACCATCATTACATGATCGTTGCATAATATACTATTCTATTTCAAGTATTGCAAGTCTTAGCAAGTATGAGAAGTACATAGGCAGTACGAAAAAAGTATATAGAAAGTATTAAACTTTTAGTCAGCAGTTTACATGTCTTGAATATATATCAACCGCACTTGGAAAACATTTTTATTGTGGAATGGCTATTGTGCATACCTTTTCTGATGAGCCCTTAAAATGCCTACCCTTTGTAGTATAGTACAGCTGACTGTGTGTCAATAATAATCTAAGTTTCCTTATTCCCAAATAAACTTATATAAAATTATTTATGAATATTATTGCTGATTCTGGGAAATTGTTATCAATTATTCCATTATTAGGCTAATACAATAGTGGGATAGTATTTTTTTATTAAAAATATTATTGATAAGTTGTATGAGATTGTAAACTTACAATTGTGTCTTTAATAGGTTCATTTAATGTATTAAAATCTGGTAAACCAATCTGAGAATTGTTTGGAGGCTGGGGTATATTCATTTCGCCGTGTACTGTTCCTTCCCCACCATCAAACATCTAGAAAAAAATAAGATTATAAGAGATATTTTATACAGCTATAATTATTGAAATTTACCTCTAGTTTAGCAGAATCCATCGCAGAAAATTATTTTATTTTTAATATTTTGAATATTTGTAAAGTTGGCATATTATTATAAGTAAATAGTAAATAGCCACTTGACACTTAATTCTTCTTCTTTTATCGTTGTTTTAATTGATTTCTTGTTCTTTTTCCGCTTTTGAACCTTGCTCTTTAAAACATACAGCCAACCTTTTTAGAAATAGTTCAAATTTCTTTTTAAAACAAAAAGAAGATTTACAAATTCTGTCAAATCTTAACAACATTAGAATTAGACACGTGTTGACACGACTATCTTCGTTCCACAGAATGCGATTCGTATGTAATGTCTCTCTTTATTTAATTCGTTAAGTGTCGAGTGCGCAGAAATATGTTGAAAACTGTCCGAGTACTAGATGACCAGTGGAAAGTTGAAAAGTTTTACGCGACGCATAATTTGATATTCAACTGTTCCACTGGATTTCGGACGGTTTGCAGTCATGGTTTGCAGTACATTTTGAAGAAACCAGAATGAGTTTAATTGGTATACTTACATGTGTTATTATGTTTATTCTGAATACTTCTACAAACCTATTGAAACGTTTTTGTTCCACTAGTGTTAGTATACTATTTTGGATATAACATTATATATTACTAAACATTTTTTTAGGTCTATAAATTATTAAAAGTAAAAGAGGAAAGAATAAAGAATTTAAGAAAAATGGCTTTACCAAAATCAAGAGAGAACCCCATAATAATGAAATTAGATACACCGGAATTTAACGCATTATTTAATGATGAATTACGTAGTTTGATTTCAATATTCAAAGAATACGGTTATGAAATTCGCATAGCTGGGGGTGCTGTAAGAGATTTGCTCATGGGAAAACAACCCAAAGATCTAGACTTTGCTACAACAGCCACTCCGACGGAAATGAAAGAAATGTTTACAACAGAAAACGTTAGAATGATAAATGTCAATGGTGAAAAACATGGCACCATTACTCCTAGAATCAATGATAAAGAAAATTTTGAGGTAACAACTTTAAGGATAGATGTTATAAGTGATGGAAGGCATGCCGAAGTTCAATTTACCACAGACTGGTTACTCGATTCATTGAGAAGAGATTTAACAATAAATTCAATGTTTTTGGGAATGGATGGAAATGTTTATGATTATTTTTTCGGATATGACGATCTCAAAAAGCATAGAGTTGCTTTTGTAGGGAAGGCAGAGACTAGAATACAGGAGGATTATTTAAGAATTTTGAGATATTTTAGGTAGTTGAAGTTTTATATTATATTCAAGATTGGCAAGTAATTTAATGATTCGTATTAGCTAATAAATGTTTAAGGTTTTATGGAAGAATTTGTCCAGAACCCAATAAATTTGATTCGGAAGCAATCGAGGCAATCAGAAACAATGCTCATGGATTGGCTGATATTTCTGGAGAAAGAATATGGATTGAATTGAAGCAAATTTTAGAAGGCAATTTTGCTGGAGATATAATGGTTACGATGATAGAAAATGGTTTAGGTCCCCACATAGGTATGAATGAAATAATATAAATAGTTGACAGGTCTATGTCAAAGTTGGTAATTGTAAATCTGAACCAGAAAGTTTTGATCCAATTAATAACTTTACCAAAGGCTTTCGAAAAGTCGCAGCCACTAACATATGCCTTGTTTTAGGCTAATAAAGTCTTTTTCCAAAAGAGAAAGATATTTTAGTAATCATATAATCGATTTTTAAAATATTTTTGCAAATGTTATTAGGTTTTTATTTATTTATTTATTATAGGGGATAACCCCATTAAAGAAATTTATACAATTTACAATATAAAAAGGCAGGTAGAAAAATACTATTACTATAACATTACTAAAACCAAACAAAGTACAAAAGTGAGTTTTTACAGTAATTAATTAAGGTGAATTTAAATATAGGTTAAATATAAGTTAAGGATAAGTTAAGGAACATGTATCACATTTTTTACAATTTATTTTAAATTTGGCTAATCCCATATTAAAAATATCTAAATTAAGATTATTCAACATAGACAAATATCTGTCAATAGGACTGTTGACGCCATAGCTCGTTTTATGAAATGGTATATAAAATGTTAATGGATATCTCAGTCCAAGGTAATAAAGAACATTTAGGCTAATCCCGCTCAAACGAGAAGGACAGTCTATAATTTCATTTAAAATTTTGAATAAAAATACTAAGCCAAATATGTCTCTTCTTTCCCTTAAATGAGGCAAATTTAATTGACTTTCTATAGCACTATAATCATGATCTGAAATCCTGACATTACTTTTAACTGCACATACTCTCAAAAATTTGTGTTGTACCCTTTCCAAAGTATCAGAATGAATTTGAAATAATGGTGACCACACAATTGAGCCATACTCAAGCATGGATCTAACTAACAAGCAGTAGACCATTCTGGTGGCATCAGTGGAGAAGTACTTACAATTTCTTATAACAAATCCTAACATTTTTGATTCTTTAATAGAGATTGAGTTTATATGTTCAACAAATGCTAGTTTTTCATCAAAAATGACACCCAGGTCTTTTACTGTTGATTTGTATTCAAGTTGGTGATCATTAATAAAATAGTTTGTTGCTATCCTAACAGTTTTACGGGAAAAACTTATATAGCAACATTTATTTTCGTTTAAGTACAATTTGTTTTTATTACACCACTCTACTAAGCGATTCAAATCCTCCTGAAGGAGTTCTTGATCACAAATGTTCTCTACTGTTCTCCAAAACTTGAGATCGTCAGCAAACTTAGCACATTGGCTGTACACAAAACACAACCAACAATATTATTCACAAAAATGTTAAAGAGAAAAGGTGAACTATGACCCCCTTGAGGTACACCAGATGTAACATTAATTGTATCTGAGTAGTAACAACCTATTTTTACCCTTTGAATACGATCAGTCAATGAGCTTTCCCACCACAAAACAAAGCCTAAGTTGAAGCCAACTGAAAGCAACTTATTTAACAAAATATTGTGATCTACTCGATTGAAGGCTTTTGAAAAGTCTGTGTAGATCGAGTCTGTTTGTTTTTGGTCTTCCATGTTTTGAAGAACATTTAATTGATAGGTTGTTAAGTTTGAAACAGTTGATCTGTTCTGGGATAAACCATGTTGTTCCTGACAGATTAAGCCTTTACATTGCAAAGTCAGTTGTTTGCTAACTAGGCAATCAAATAATTTTGGTATAGCAGATTGTATACAGATACTACGGTAATTCTCGATGTTGTTCTTTTCCCCACTTTTGAAAATAGGAACAATATTGCTTACTTTCCAGATCTCAGGAAAAATAGAACATTCCAACGATTTGTTAAATAGCAAAAATAAGGGTAAAACAATTGTGCAAACACATTTCTTTAATAAAAAGTTAGGAACACCATCTGGACCTGATGTTAATTTATTTGGAATATTTAAAATTTCATTGAAGATGTCAGATTTTGATATTACATTACTCCTTATATTGTTGCTTAGGCTCTCGTCTCTAGTTACATCATCAGTATAATCACTAATAGTGTATACAGTTTGAAAGAGGTCCCTAAATAGATTTGCAATATCTTGGCCACATACAGCCTCTTGATTGCCATAGAACTTGGAACTGGGCAAATTGTGGTTAGAGCGTTTGTTGTTTATAAACTTCCAGAAAGATTTAGGATCTTCTATCAATTTCGCATCTAGACCCGTGAAAAAATACCGGTGTTACTTCCGAATATTTCTTTGGTAACAATGTTCTGTAGCATATGTCGCTGGTGTTAGAAGAATTGGGTTCTTTTGTAGAAATAACTAACGAGTCATAGGTAGTAGAAAAAGAAGTGTTTTTAATTTACTATTTTCACTGAAGTAAATACATAGTGGTTGATTCCATTTAGATATAATAATTTTCTTATCTTCACTAAACAGTTTTAAATATTTACAATTTTAGTTCATCACAATTTGATTAACTAATACAGTTGATTTTTTAGTTACCAACTTGAAAACATTTGTTTGTAGAACTTCTTATGCCATAATAATTGTAGAAGATATAACTTTCACCAGAAAATAAAATGCATTAAACGCTTGTAAAAATGTAGAAAGTAACGTGCCGTCGGCAGAAAGCACCTGAACGTTCGGATGGCAAAGACAACTGTGAGCGATGATGGCAAAAAGACTGTTCGTTGGTGGCAATAAGACAACTGATCTGTTCGCGTCGAGCTCACCCTAATATATACTGTTGGGCCGAAATGAGTGTCCGGGTCATAGTTGACGCACCTATTCGGTTTCAACCAATGAAAACATCATGACATAATGAAATACGTCATTTGTGGTTCGTTAACTATGCGCCGGACACTCATTTTGTTCCACTGCACAGCTGTGCACCTGAAAACACAGGTGTTCGACGTTCGGTATTCTGAGAAAAATGCTATTTATAGTTTTATGACTTCACATTATATTAGGGTAAAAAGCAGTCGAACTATTTGAGAATTGTTTATTTATTTAGTAGATGTAAAATATTAATTTGTTGATGTTTTTACTGGTGAAATTGTAGAATTTAACATAATTATTAAAACAAATGTCAGAGAGCCTCTTACATTCTGAATGCAACTGAGAAAATCTAACATAACTTTCATGTGACTGCTCTCTTTTATACTCAGAATGTACGAGTTTTTTTCCAAAGTTAACTTACGCAGATCGGAAGAAAACCACTTAGGAAAAGTAGATACACCTTTTAAGAGGGATAAAGTAAGCAATTCCAGTTAACAAGAGTTCGTAAAACAAATTAGTAGCATCGTCAACATTCATATTTTTTAGGCATTCACTCCAGTCTATGCCAAATAATTATTTAGTTCTATGTAGTTACCGTTTCTAAAATCATAATTATGATGAAAACTTCTTTAACATTAGAAAAAACTAAATCTAAAAGTATATTTCGATCATTAGGTATGCTGTTGTGGTGGTAAAACTTATGATAACCAAAAGATAAAGCAACCTCCAATGCTGGGTCACCTGCTTGGCATTGCATCTCTGTCCCAAACTCATCGTTAGACCATATTACATTTGGTAGGTTGTATTCACCTACCATGTATATATTTGCTCCTGGATACCGTTGGATTACACTATCGACAGTTGCACAGTGCAGTATATGTGTCCCGAGTTGATTGAGGGGGTATATATACACCTCCAATGACAAACCTGGAATTATTAATTTGACACAAAACATAGAGCTGCTTAACTCTGTTTTCTTCTGTAATTATGTACTGGGATTTGATTTTGTTGTTAACCATTATTAAAACACCTCCCCCACTATTTTTTTGACTAGTTCTGGCATTTCTATCACAACGAAATATGTTAAAACCAGAACATTGTAGTTCATTGTCTGAAAGGTGAGCGTTTAAGTTGCTTTCAACCATAACAATTACATCATAAAAACAGCAAGCAACTGTCTTCGTACGTTCATGCAATTTGGTACGCAGACCACCAACATTCTGAAAATAGACCTTTAATGGGGTCCTAACGTGTTTTTTCGATGTTTTATATCGACAACTGGTATACCATTAAAGTATCTAATGAATAGATTTTCCTCCCCAGCAGCTTTTCTATTTTCTAAAGAATGAATCCGTTTATTTAGCCATTGCTATTATATACAATTATTTATTTTTTTATTTACATATTTTTTTTGTTATCTTACATAATATACACAATTGTTTAATTTGATTCTCTAAGATATTTACATAATTTTTTGTTAAACAAATTCAAATTGCTTTTATTTCTTTTGGCAGATTATTAAAAAGATGTATTCCATTAATTAGCAACGATCCCATTAAGAAAGTTTTATTTGAAAAATTTATGTTGAAATTTTCATCGGATCTTAAATGTCGAGAATGTAAGTGTTGCCGCGTAACTAGTAACTCACTTAGATATTTCGGTGTTAATTGATGCATCATTTTATAGATTACAACGAGGGTTGCCTTTTTAATATTCTGTTCAATAGAAAGCCAATTTAGGGTTTGTAGCATATTTTTGATTGGAGTGTAAATATTACATTTTAGAACAATTCTCATACATTTGTTTTGGAGTACCTGATGTCTGCTTACTTGTTCTTTATTACATGAAAGTAAAAGTGACATACAAAAGTTAAAGTGTGGATATACAATTGTGTTATAAACAAGATTTCTACTCCATTGAGACAAATTTGAAGCTATTCTTCTAAAGAACCCTATTTTCTTCCCTAATTTCCTACATAAGTAGTCTGCATGACTGTTGAAAGTCAATTGAGGATCTAAAATAACTCCTAGGTATTTAATCGTATATACTTGTTCGATGGCAATATTGTTTATACAGATGATAAAATTTCGCTCCGCAAAATTGTTACAGGTCGATTTAGATCCCATTGCCATAAACTTGGTTTTATTTGCATTTAGTTTTAATTTGTTGATACACAACCAGTCATACAGAATACTTAGCTCACTGTTTAAGGTGCGAACAGCTTCTTCAAAATTAGTAGCCGCGACAGATATGAGTGTGTCAT